GCCGCCGCCGCCGCTGATGCAGCCGCGTGCGAGCCGCTGCCTCTCGCTCCCGGGACCGCCACCGCCCGCGCCACCACCGCCTCCGCCGCCACTGTCATCGTCGACGCGATCTTCTCGCGCGAACCAAGCGGGAGATCCATGATAGAATAGGCGCGCGTGTCTTCCACCTTTTTTCCCTTCCTGCGCCCCGGCCGTAATAAGTCGCCCGCGTATCTCACCACACTGTTCATTATCGCCGCTCTGATCGCAGTTCTGTATCGCTACCTCCTTCGTTAACAGGTGACAATTCTCAAATTCGTAATCTCTATTTTTAATTTAACGTAGGCGACGCGAGGGATGTTTAGTACTTTCGGATTGCATTTAGTTCCGAAACATAATGGGTGTAATAATGTCCTTAAGAAATTAATCAATTACAGTCGAATGTGAGAAATACAATCGACTATGATTGGTCGGTTTCTTAGGACTTACTACACCTATTGTGTTTCAGGACGTACATAAGTACTGTCAGTTCAAATGTCTTAAATTTGATTTAATTTAATTGTGCGATGATAGTGGTAATACATGAGAAATGAATTCGGTAATAAATTTTAAATCGTGTCTTATGTATTTACTCGATGTAAAATGGGAAATTTCTCGAGTAACGTGCCCCTCATTATATGTTTCATAGCGAATACCTACACCAGTTTCACGTTCATTAGTGCGATATCTAAATTGCAATGTTTCTGAGCGTGATAAAGAATACGTCGGGTCGACAGATTTTCTAAAGCAAATTTTTTTTGTCTGCGCGCTGTTACTATGATAATTGCAGCACTTGATGTCGAAATAAAAATTGGAAAAATCTTGAAAACTCGAGGAAATCTCGGAAATTCTTTATAATTGAAAAACTTATGATTTACAGTCAATTAGTCAATTATAAGAAATAATAGTTTAAAAATTGATCTCAACAGACATACTAAAAAAATTAATAAACAGAAGAGATTTACCAAAATTTCATAAGATTGAAATTTCTATATACAGATTGAAATAGTTTATATACAAGAAAATTTTATCTAAAGCTCTATAATCAAATTATGAATCCATTATTGGTTAGCGAATTGTGTCTCAATTATTTGCATTTCTCTCGTACGTTTTAGTCTCTTAATAAGAGATATTTATCGTCATTTTAATCGAAACATCAATTTGCATAATTTCTTTTTAAATAAGCAATTATCATTTAAACAAATGTGAAAATATGGAATTATCGACGTATCTTCGTTGATATAAATTTAACTAATTAATAATGAAATATAAATCTGCGAGAATTGCTTAATTATTTAGAAAAGAAAACTAAAATAATACGAGGTAATACAATGTGTGCATCGAAATAATTGAGACTACATTGCGATGCAAGGAACAAAAGACATAATTGTAACGTTCTACTGGTTGCCAGTTACTGATTGCCGGTCACTGATTGATGGTACTATTTTAGCCAATTACATTGCAGCTACTCGCTGCATCTGATTGACTAAAATAGAAATTACAACTGGTAACCTATAATAATCGGCAACCTGTAGTATAATGTGATTACGGTTTAATTATATTACTTTAGATGTAACGTGCATGCTTTGACTTTATTTCTCTGAAATGCTAATTTACATGATTGACCATTCTAATACTTCCTACAATAAGTATGGGTCAACGGAGAGCTTATTTATACACCTTACGATATGCCTATTGACCCCGATCGCATCATTATATATGTATATATAATGATATAAATATTTTGACATTAATCTTTAACATTTTCCGTAAATCCGCGTCCGCCAATGCTGCTAAAGGCAGCGTGTTGCAGAAAAGTTGTTGCACCTTAAACTTCATAGCGGTTTTGTCGCGAAATTATATACGCGAAAATCCACCTTTTACCGTTGGTTTTTTTTAATATCGTATATTGACCGCATTATTCGCAATCGCATAATCGTGTTATTTTGTATTTTAGATAATGTCAAAAAATATAGAAAGAAATCGAATAAAAGTAAGCTAAAAAGATAACTTTTTTATAACAATCTAATTGTTTATACTTGAAAAATAGTTTTTATGTTAAAATATAAAAATGCTAAGCTCTAATCTAATCATCAAATGTTAAAAATTAAATAGTTTAATAATCAAATATTAATATTTGGATTTCATATTGAAATCATTTCAATATGAAAGTTTCCTTTTCCGTCGCGTATCACTTGGTCTTCTTTCATATCTAGAAAAAGCAGGGAAGGATAGATTTTATGCATCAGATTTCTGTGCAACTCTTTCACATTTGTCACGATGTTCGTTTTAGTTTTTATTAATAAATTCGAGCGACCGCACCCAGAATCGATCTCGAAGTTTTGGCACAGTAACCTTTCGTGAATTCCAAGTCATCGATTTTTATGCGAGCAATATTCACTCGTCTTATACTGGGCTATTTTTACGACTCTAACAGAATGACCCCGAAATCTAGATCTAAGACGCAGCTTCAGCTTATGTCCGTGTCTACTAATAGTGATTAATAGCTTATATGCATGCCACTATCAAACGAGAACGGTTTTATCCTTAAAATTTCTTTAACTTTAAGGGTGAGAGCACAGAGTCTTGCATAACTAACTTAATGCATAAGAAAATGAATCAATCAGATTCGTTTATTTCTTTCCTTTCCATGAAATAAGAGACTCTGATTGAGTCGATCTTCTTATGCTTTATACATTACGCGTTATGTAAAGGTCTGTACTTCGACCTTAAGCCTCGGGCCGCATATGTAACTTATATCAAACTTGCCTTGTCCCCTCATCCATTTTTGTTTATTTGCGCTATCTTTCTTCCACGTAGGATAGATCTATGCCAAATCCCATAATGGTTTCGTTGATTATATACCAACAAATAGTTTTTGCGTCAGTACCCAAGCAGAATGACAAGTCATTATATCAAAATGATGTCAAAATGACGCTAAAATGATCATTAAAAGTCATTTTTCAATCATTTCTGATTCATTTTAATGTCATTTTGACATTATCATGACTCGTTGTTTTGCTTGGGTAACAACATTTGGTTATTCATATAAAACATTTCTCTCAGTGAATCTTCAGGATTTTGCAAATGCAACATAACTTCATTTCATCCTTACTGTCGAATATACCTTATACATCATGCATATATTTGGACGTTCTCAACAATTTCGACCCCTATCGGGTCATTATCAATGTGACAATAATTATAAAGTATGATCCGTTACCATAATTTCAACAGTCACTAAATGAAAAAAAAGATGGTCTTACCATATGATTAGAATTGATTCTACTCATTTTGTTCCGCTAACTTATAAGATGTCGGATGTTCGCGCATTGTAATGTCTGTTCAGTTGTAAAGACGGAACTAATATCCGATCGGAGGGAACATTGATATAATCGATAAGCGCGCCGTATGTTATTATATAGAATGTTAAAAATATCACGCTTTATTTTACATTACACCCTGCTCCATTACCAACTGAACGCATTGTACACGTCGCGCGCGGTTTTCGTTCGCACGAAGCCGTGAGAGTGTGATCGTGTGGGAAATATTTTGCAGTTCTCCGTTCGAAAGAGAGTTTCGCGCTTCCGCCGATAGACGCGAGATCTCTTCTCGAAGGGAAGAAGTTGAGCGAGACGCGGCGGCAAATCGATAGAGGAAACGCACGATGAGACGTATGATGAGGGAGAACGTGCCGGCGATGGTGTAACCTCGCGGGTCACTGGACATAAAAAGAGCAGGGGGAAGCTGGAAGAGACAGCTTGTCCGTGGGCTTTCGACAATTTAAGCGGCGGCAGGATCAAAGGTCATGGCAACGCCGCCGGACTCGCCGGGACCGGAAGAGGCGTTCTTCGACTTCGAGAGCACGAGGGCGAGGCAACAGACCACCAGACCGGTACCTATAGAGGAACTTCTGCGACAGACAAAGTTCTCTCGCCAGGAGATCCGAGTCATGTACCGAGGCTTCAAGCAGGTATGTTCCTCTTGACCTATCAGGCACCATCGATTCCTCTCGGGGGGTCTCTCGAATTGGCAAACGCGAAATTATGCAGGGAGCAAAAGCATTTTTATACGTCGTATTCATAGCAATTTTTATCACACGTTCGTTGTAATATGTAAACGAGTTTTGCACTTCGCTGCAAAGCGCTATTAATTTATTTTCATCACTGAGCTTGCAACGATTTTCCTCTTATATACGAGATTTTGTTTAATTTATTCAAAATTGTTTTATTGGCACGTGCACAGTAAGTTGTTTTGCATTTTTAATTTACGATTGAAAATTTTAGCTGAAAAACCTGACTCGCAAGTCCCAAAAGCAAAATGTCAAAGAGAGAAAGATTTTCTGATAATAATTTATTTAGAACGTTTCAAAAGTTATTAATTCTCACACTTTGTGCCTTTTATTAAATATCTTTGAATATTTAACGTAACAGAATTTGTCGAATGTCACGTTGTATCGAGAAAAAACAAATAAAACGTAATCAAGTATGAGTCATATCTGTTACTTCAACTTCGAATTATGCCGAAGGCAAGATTTTCGAACATCGTTTTGTTCGTTATTGCAAGATGCAGCAACGATCGGTAGCTGATATAGCAGTTCGTATTAGTATTTTTAACTCCTTCTTTATTAAAGATAGTCTCGCAAAGTATTGATTATTCATGGGCATCCTACAGAAATTGTGTTAACGCGGTTACGTAAATGAATTGATTATAGCGCTGTGGACTCAATCATCAATAAAAAGCATTTCTTTCCAATCGATTTACTGCGTTATCATCGAGCATTTAGTTAACCTTAACTATTTGTGATAAACCAATTTTACATCAAAGTTGTTCGTATATTATACAAGCATTTTATTATAATATTCATAAACAAATCTGATATTTCTGAGACATGTCCGAAACTCAATTAACATGGAAATTATAGGAATAATCAAACTCGATTTGTGTGGATGAAATGTGGATGAATACGTCGCTTTGTATTGGATTTTCACGCAATTTCTGTAGCAATGCGTGAAGGTAAGACAACGAAGTACAAATTGCGTTAGCAACGTGGAAACGATTGTAGGGGATATAAGATGTTTATATCGACCTAGAAAACTTTCGGATGCGTGTCCGATTGTAAGAAAGAGTACAGCAGTAGGAATTACTTGCATAGGAGTATAAAATAAGAGCAGAAAAATAATAGAAACTTGGCACTAGACAAATACGTTCGTATAGCCAAAAACGGGTTTGGCTCTCTTTCCAATCACAGTTTTGTGGCTAAATTTTATATCACTCGCATCTATTTTCATCGATAGATATACGCGATAGAAGTTTCCAATGGATTTTAACAGAAGCGATTGTATCCTTTGTAATATTGGATTACTAACGAGCTATTAAATGAATATAATACTCATATTAAGTTCATGTGATGATACAATTTATTTGTGCGCAGATAACTTTTATAAAAGCAAGTCTTTAAAACTCATATTTCTCTCTCTCTCTCTTTCCCCCCTCTCCCCCCTCTCTCTCTCTCTCGATTATATTTTTCTCTTATTGTATTTTTGAAGAGCGCTTCAGAGGAATTTATTTTCAGAGCATTAAATAAATGATTTCTCTCTCCCTCTTTTAGTTTAAGAAATAAATTGGATATTATTTATATGAGAATATTAACATAATAATTATATGTAATATTTTCAAATGAGTGCGCTAACAGATAAAATACTGAAGTGTCATCGAAAAGACGACGAATATCTGCGATGATCATCTATAAGGGACGTAATTACATACGCGATGCCACTTACTTCTGCTGTTCATTCATACCGAAGCAGTCCACGTCGATATTGGATTTATGGGCTCGTTATATATTCGCGCTTTGCAGTGCATAATTTTTCGCTAGCGCACGGTTCGGTGAAAACTCAAAGCCGTGCACGCTTCGGAGTCCTGTGCGGTCCATTACTTTCACGACTTTCGTAAAATATTCACCAGCGAGCGATCGCCAGCGAATTGTGGCGACCGACGCGACGGTCAGTGCGGTAGTCAGTCTACCTGACGTTGAACCGATGTGCGGTTTCTCCAAGGCTCTCCAACGTAAATATCTGCAAGTTCTCGCGGTTGTTTTGTACAATATATTCTGGAAAAAACGTATATCTCTCGCCGGCAAAACTATGTTCAACTATGTCGTAGTAACAATGATTACAGCTAGTGTCATGGAAATTCAAGAAATAAAAATTAAAAAAGATTTTCTACATAAAGTAACAGTAGAATTGTAATTAGACTCCAAGAGTCAAAACTCAGTTTACGGTGCGTAAATATATAATAATAAAAAAAACACGAAGTGTCTATTTATTAAATATATAACGTTCAAATATAAGGGTACCATACAGAATGAACGTTTCGACTCCACTTCGGGCCATATTCTTCAGGATATATAATGTAAAAAATTATTTTATGTCTTTTTATAGCCAAAATGTCAAATGACCTGAATGGAAAGTACAATGTGAGACATCGATAATCCACGCGATGGAACGTAATAGACGTCACAATCAGTTCTTGATTCTCGAAATTTTTTTCTTTGGAACGACTGCTGAACACTAAAGGAGTATTTATACTGGTTGTAATTTGTAAGAATTGACCAATCACAGTCGAATATTCCCTTCTTATTCGACTGAGAGAGGAATACTCGACTATGATTAGTCAATTCTTACAGATTACGACTTACACAGAATATGGTCGCGTGTCATAAACCGTAAAAATAAATTAACCAATCATAGTTAATTATTTTTTTTCATATTTAACTATGATTGATCAATTTTTACAGTTTGCGACCCTAGAACAGGTATAAGAGATCTTGGCATACGTAACGTGTTGCATATATAACACTGCACGATGTTATATGCTGCATTGAACACTAATGTATCTACGCTCATACCATAGCACCTTTGCCCTTAATATTAAAAGCGGAGATTAAGCACACACGCAAGCACATATTAGAGTAGCAGTCCGCTGCAGAATTTAAGGTTATTCACTCTCGGCAGGGTGGTTCAATTTACCTAGTGGGACATGGACGAGCTGTCCGAATGCTAACTTATTCAGTAGCCGCTTACACAATGACTCGCGTATTGTTGTAATGCGAAGGTGCTATAGAATGGCATAAGCGCGAACTACTTAAGCGTCCCTCGGCGCTTTTTCACGGCCGCTCGTATATTTCTTCGCGATCGCGCTTTCAACGATATAGCACGCGAGACTGAATTGAGAAAATGCGCTTTGTGCATTTCTCGCTCATGGGTACAAGGACGAAGGGCAACCACACGCTCGCTATCTGATGCATTTCGTCGTTCGATTCTTCCCGAGGATAGGAGGGTTGGGGAAAAAAGTGCGAGGACAATCGCGTTCTCGAAACAATGTGCCTCTTGTAATTATTGTTAGCTCACAATAGGCGGCGATAGGGCGAACTTTTGAATAACGAGAGGAAGACCGGCATCGAAACAGCATCCTCTATAGTTACGATATCGCACGCTATTGTATAACAGATGTACATTGTCAGATCAACGAGTGTGAGAGATGCAATCCTGCTTTTTATAGGCGCGTCTTAGGCTAATGTAGAGACCCTCTGATAAGAATCTGAATACAAGCCGTAGCTTTGTATATCTATACAGGGTAGTAGTTTTAACAAATCACGGGAGAGAGAAGGGCATACATTTACTATTTCTTTCTTTTTCTCATTCTGTTCTACACTGAGAGAAAACGAAATAGTTCCAGCAACTATAAATTTGGCAACTTTTGCAATTGAAGTATCTGTAACTAGTTTTACAAAGTAATAGAAACTAAAGTAGTGCTGAATATTATAAAAATGTAGTCACGGTAACAAATTGTATGCACTATTAATTGGTAGTGAAATAGTTCAATTACATTGAGTAGTTACTTGGACTTCATGCAAATAGATATAACAATTACATTTTTCTAGTTTAGACAAAAATTTTTAAAGTGTCGCTCAGTACGAGTAGTACGCGGCTTTATCACCAGAGGGACGTAGCGGAGTTCAGTTTCTCCTAAGAAGGAAACCACTCAGTTTACGATAAAAGGCGCAGCGTTGGTTTCAAACTTGGAAGACAAAAATAAATAAGAAATGCATACACAAATTTGTAACTATGTATTATAAAGCTTTAATAACAACAATAAGTAAATTAAGTGAACTAAGAAAATATAGTAATATTAACCATTTATAAATTGATTATATGGTTAATGTACTATATTTTCTTAGTTCACTTAATCTAATATTCTTATTAGAATTTAATAATATGTATATAGTTGAGGCGCTATTTCACTACAAATTTATAGTTACTGATACGATTTTTTTCTCTGAGTGTATATTTTCTTTTATCTATTTCTCTGTTTCTCTCTCTCTCTCTCTCTCTCTCTCTCTCTCTCTCTCTCTCTCTCTCAGGAATTGTTAAAATGGATCAATCAAAGTGGCTTTCTCATGTCCAAGTTCTTATTAGAGAGCTTCTAGAATAATGTATAATCTGCATGTTATGAGCGTTTATGAGCTCTTGCCTGGAGAAAGGTGAATAATACAATTATTGCTCAGTTTATTATTTTAACTATTATTAGACTATAAAAATTGAAAAATGAAAAAGAAAAGTAATTACACCACTTATATTAGGTCTGTTTTCTGTGGCTGAACTAGTGTACACTTTTGGAACTTAAAGTGAAATATGTTTGATATTTGTCGAAAGCGAGAAAGAGAGTTCTAGTGCAGTCTAGTGCAAGAACAGAAAACAGTCCATTTAATATAAATCAAAATATGTCGTCACTTTGTCAGTTTTTTGTTAAATGTACCATAACAATTACTTGAAGGAAGAAATTCTGTCTAGAGGGTTTTCTTCAGAATCTTTAGATCACATAGAAATACATTAAATGTTAGACTATTGAGTCACTTATATGTCATATAGTGTGATCATATATTGATTACCTCATATTTTCTCTGATTAC